AGCACCAGCAATTCAGGAAGGACACAGCTGCATTAGAAAGGAGGAGAGAACCTAAATGTTACTGGTTTGTGAAAACATTTTGTATTATGCTTGCTTCACCATCAAACCAGCTTTGCAGAATGAAATGTTCACCCATTGCACCGGCTGCAAAAAAAATCAGGGCAAATGCAGTGGGTTACAACACAAAAATCACCCGCTGCATCAGCAGCAGAGAAGCTGCTGTGATCAAAATACAGCGATGCATGACTGCAGAGATTGGGGACCACACCTTTGTGTTTAAGAGCATGAAGGCTGCGTGTTGCTGTAAGAGATTGTAAGCTGCAGTGGGTCCAGAGGGGATGCTTTAAACATTTATCCTTCTTAAGGGTTTTATTTTAGACCTGACAGACAAGGTTATGTGGGTAAATGTGATATCTTTTGTTAGACCACCTAAGTAGTTGGAAAAACTGTTCTTTGCAAGCTTTCAGACAAACACCCTTTTCCAGGCATATAGGGGGTCTGCATATTTTAATTTTAGACCTGGCACACTTGACTCGTGGTAAATAAACCAGAAGGGCAAAATCATGCAGTCTCTGGGAGAAGGGGAGGGAGGAAGTGCTACTCTGTGACTGCAGTTTTGGCTTTGCTCTTCTAAACAGGTAATAGTCAAGAGATGTAGCTTTTACATTACACACCAGCCATGGACAGGCATTTATTTCTAGTGCTAAAAATTCTTGGTGCTTGGAAAATAGTTCAGGAATTGCAGTGTGCCTGTGCTCCAGGCCCCTGGCTGGACAGCTACACAGGCAAGCTCTCCAGGCAGGGGGCACTAGAAAGCTGCTCCCTGGACCGTCCCTGCCCTTAGGGGAGCCCATTAATTGATAACCTGCTCTCTCCCTTGTGCCAGGTAAAGGGGCAGCCTGTCAACAGCTGCTGAAAAGCAGCAGCTGCCATGGACAGTTTGTCCAGGCCTGGGGGAGAATTGTTCTCCTCGCCCCTTCCACTCCCTGCCTGCTGCACTGAGAGGGCTGCATGGAGGAGGCGGTATTGCCTGGGGCTGGATCCCTTCCAGGGCTCTGAAGCTGTTCACACCATGGGAAAACACCTGTCAGTCCTTGTCAATCGGCTCTCAGAGCCGTGGAAGAGTTGCAGCCCCAGGAGTGTCCCCTCACTACTCCCATTGCAGGGATTTAGAGTGACCCAGGTCTGTTCAGGGGCTGGGGGGCATTGGCACTCTTGACAGGGCCCCCAAAGGACCGAGAGCAAGCTGTTGGGAGCCAGTGCTCTCCCTTGGGACCCCCCAAAAAGATCTTGCTGGTTAAAGGGAGAACTTCCTTGCCAAAGAGCTATTTGTCTTCTGCAAGAAACCCTTAAATAGCTGTATGCTCCCTTGCTGTGCTAGGAGAAAGGCTTTTCTCCCGGAACAAAATTTAACACCTGTCCATGGCCACAGCTTCAGTTCAGAGTGTGTCCAAAGAGCCAGAGAGGGAAGGGGCAGCAAAACCTGGTGCATGGGACCCGATACAAAAAGGGCTTAAAAATCCAAAACAGTGCATTTCCCAATGCAGTGATCCAAGAGCACTTAGCAAAGCTAGGAGCTCGAAGCTGCAAGTGAAAGGTTGGGGGAGAAGCAGCCACTGTGCGCCAAGGAAGAGTTTACACAGCCTCAGACTTCACACCATCACAGCATACGGATGTGTCACCAAAACATACAAAAATCACAGTGATTAAGCTGAGCAAAATCCCAAGTTGTCACAATCTTCCTCTTTGAATGGAACATGGCTGCTCCAGAGCCTCATAAAGCCAGTGCTCAGAGTCCATACATGTTTGAAGATACCTTGTGGTTAGTAAAATATATCAGTTACTCACCTGAATCTGTTAGGACCTCTGTCACAATGGAGAGATACTCAAAAGTGCTCAATACAACCAGCTCTTCTCCTTAGTGATGGGGTGAGCAGGGGAAAGAACTCAGCACTCATGACAAGTCTATTTATTAAGTGACTAGTTAGATATTTGAGGGCCTAAAGCCAGCTGTAACTCTTACACAGTATGATCAAGCGCTTTCTATTCAGAACTAAGTCCAATGTCCCAAAATTGCATTTTCTTGATGAACAAACAACTTGTTATTTTAATTTCTATTTTCATTGTATTATTTCAGGATTACACTGCAACCCTTGGCTGGCAATTGTTTAGAAATGGAAACATCTGGGAGACAGGTGAGATGCATCTGGTGTCTTAAAGTCCATGATTTGGAGAAACGTCCACTTGGGATGAAAGCTGGCCAATAGATTGCATTTACTCATACATGTTTGGTGCGATATTGTGCAAAACTTACGCATACAATCATAGACAATGAGGGTGGGAAGGGACCTCAGGAGATCACATCTAGTCTAACCCCTTGCTCCAAGTAGGACCAGCTCCAACTGCATCATCCCAGCCAAGGCTTTGTCTAGCCAGATCTTAAAAACCACTATTGGTGCAAAACAATAGAACATTGTGGAGTGCACCGAATGGCTGCATAAGAAAAAGGACTGGTGTACTGTAAAACTAAGCTGATCAGACACCACCAATAATACATGACGGATGTTTCTTAATTGGACTCCACTGACTGGGGATCTTACTCTTCATGGCTAATGGTTAGAGCACTGGATTAGGATTTGGAAGACCCAATTGTGGTCTCCCCAGTGACCTCTTGGGAAGCTCATTTAATCTCTCTACATATGCTTTTTCCATATGCAAAACAGGAATGGTTCTTTGTTTCATGGGATAAAAATGGGGGGGGACAAATTGAATGCTGTTTGAGGTACTATCAGGACAGCAGCAAAAGTAGCTAATTTGCTAGAACCCCAGGGAAAATATTTGATGGACAGATATAAAACTGTGATACAGTTGTTTTGCTATCTCCAGTCAGACAGAAGTTTTAAAGAGGTGCAACAGAATTGTCATGCCCTTAGATTCATTATACAGAATATCTTGCTAAGTGCTCTGAAGTATTCCTGTTTAGCTTTTCCCTTTTTCAGTTCTAAATCTAAGGCAAGGTGGCAACCTGAAGCCTGCAGCTACAAGAGGCACAGGCAGCCCCTGTGTGTAGCATGCAGCAGATCAGGAAAGGAACAGGCAGCCCAGCTGTAAATAGGGCAGAAAGCAGAGCAGCACATCAGGCATGGGAAAGGGAAAGGAATCAGAGTGACACTTGGGGAGAGTCTGGGGCTAATCTGCTCTGTCATGTGCTTGCCACAAAGGTTGGCCCCCAGTAAGGGAACATTTCCTTTGTTCCAGATAGTCACTCTCACGGTCATCCCTTGTCTACATGCTATAAAGCTGCTGTCCAGTTTAAGAGAGGGAATTACAGCAATCAAGTCCATGTCCGCCCTTCACCTGTGAGATACTTTGCTTCCTCCTGACTCAGACACAAGCAGCTGGTAGGAAGGATCACAGCTTAGCTTCCTGTCCACAGGACAGCACTTTATCAGCATAAACCAAGTTTTCCACTTTTCTCTTTCTCATTTTCTGTCTCTCTTTCTCAGAAAGAATTTAAATTCACAACCCGCTATTGCTTAAGTGCTGCAGGCACCAGGGTGGGTGAACAATTCAAAGGCATGGAACATGGCTCTCTCTACATTAGCTGTTACCATGTAGGAAAGATATTCGAGAGTCATTGTGGACACTTTGCTAAAAACATCAGCTCAGTGCTCAGCAGCCATGAAAAATGCAAACTAAATGTTAGCGGTTATTAAGAAAAGAAATGTAAGCAAAACTGCAAGTATCACTTCCCTCCCTCTACAAACCCACAGTGTGTCCACATGCTGAATACTGCCCAGTTGTGGTCCCCACACCTCAAAAAGATATAGAAGAATTAGAGAAGACACAGAGAAAGGCAACAAGGATGATGAAGGGGCTTCCATATGAGGAGAGACTAAAGAGGCCAGGCCTGCTCAGTTTAGAAATGAGATGCTTGAGGAAGGACATGAGAAGGGTTTACAAAATACTAAATACTTCACTGAATGGTGAAGAGAAAGTCAATAGAGATTTATTGTCTCTCACCACACACACACAAAAAAAAGAGGGGCCACAACATGAAACTAGGAGGCAGTCAGTTTAAAACTAAAAGGAAGTTCTTCACCCAGCATTTCATTAATGTGTGGCACTCATTGCCACTAGATGTGGTGGAAGCTGACAGCTCAAGCTGGATTCACAAAGGGATTGGATGCATTCCTGGAGGAAAGGGGCATCAGCAGCGCTTGAGCATAGGAGTTAGGGATACAGCCTTTGTATGGGAACTTCCTAGACCTTAAATGCTGGAGGCTGCAAATGAGAGAGGAACAGTAGGAAAAACCCTGGTCCTACTCTGTCCACTCTTCCTTTCTGCATTCCCTCTCTGTCACTGTGACACAGGAGACTGGGCAAGACGGGCCTTGGGTCTGACCCAGTAAATGGCAGGTCTCATGTTCTTATGCAGTAGCCTTACCTCTCTCTGAGAAAGGTGCAGCAGGCATCCTTGATATTTTGCAGCTGAAGGAAACTTGCCCCCATCAGCAAACACTGAACGTTCTGCTGATCTATTGCAAGATGCCCGTTGTAGGCAAAGTTGATCAGAGCCTCGAGTGCACTAAATGGAGTGGGGAAGACAGAAAACAGTCAGTCAGTTACATCCAGAAGATGCATTTAAAAGTTGTTAACAAATGATGACAGCAACCGAGTTTTAACGTGCTCCTATAACACACACATTTAAATCCAACGATTTGCATTTATCATGCACAGAGTGACAAAAATAGCAACAAGCTGTAGAGGTGCTGTCTCTCGGCTGTCCCTGGAAGTTACCTTGGATCCATTCCCTGCATGACAATCTCGTCCTGTTTGCATTCCATCATATCATTTGTAAACATGGCATGGAAGTAAGGGATGGAGGCTGCCAGGACGATCCGGTGGGCACTGAATTTGTGGTCCCCTACCTAGAAGGGACAGAGGAAAGAGAATGGGGACAATCAGCACAACTGTTCGTATGGATCAGGGGTGCTAAGATCCAGTCCACAAACTGGGTCCAAACCATGGAGTGGTGTCATCCAGCAGGGCTCCTTGTAGATCCATATATTTGGCAGCAGGAAAGTGGTGGAGGCAATCTTAATTGCTGACTGACCTCTGATGGGACTGGGCCTGCACAGTGAATCCAGCCTGCAGGGCCACAGGGGTTGGGCACCACTGATCTAGATGATCTGTGATGGGGTCCCGCCGCTATTAAAAGCGATTAGGGACTGAGACTACTAATACAAAAAAGTATCAGACTTAATGTCCAAAGGTCTGGTGCTTAAGTGTCCCTTATACAGAAAACTGAGTACGTACAGCTCCAGTTAAAGTCAAGAAGAGCTCTTTGTGCTTAGGACTGCTGAAAATAAGCTATTACTTTTTGGGTGCCTAGACATAAAGTCATATAATCATAGAAAATGAGGGTTGAAGGGACCTCAGGAGGTCACATCTAGTCCAACCCCCTGCTCCAAGCAGGACCAGCCCCAACTACATCACCCCAGCCAGGGCTTTGTCTAGCTGCATCTTAAAAACCTGCAAGGATGGAGACTTCATCACCTCTCTGGGTAGCCTGTTCCACTGCTTCACCACCTTCCTTGTTCCAATATCTAACCTCAACTTCCCTTGCTGCAGCTTGAGCCCATTGCTCCTTGTTCTGTCGTCCGCCCTGACTGAGAACAGTCCAGTACCATCCTCTTTGAAACCACCCTGAAGACTGCTATTCAATCCCCTCTCAGTCCCCAACCTTCAGCACTAGATCCACCTTCCCCTCCTCACCAGGTGGTGCTCCTGCTAGATTGGACTGTGTATTAACAGACAGATCAACTCCAAACTATGAACAATCAGAGACCACATCCACAGTGTCTCAGATGTTCAATTCACTGGTTGAATATTGCATAAAAGTGCCACTGCCAGATGAATTTCCCCTACTAGCTTCTGCACAGGAAATACCAAGCCACTGTTGCACATACCATTCCCCCCACCCCGCACAGCTTACAACCATGATTTTCACATTAACCATCTGCTCCCAAAACACCCTCCGGTCCGGAAGCCTGCAAGGTCTGCTGTGAATCACAAATTCCAGTCATTCCAAAGAATTAAAGCTGGGCTAATCACCCACCAGCTGCCCCTCCCCAGCCAGTTCTTCCAAGCCAATGGCCAGCTACAATCTACATCTTTTTATTTCTGGACTTCCATATTGTGCTGCCAGGCCACACTGCTGTTTTCAGTCATCCTCATTGCGTCCCAAATGCTCACTGGTTCATTTTCTTTCAATCTAATGCCATCTTCACCTCTGCCATCTCTAGTGGATCCATCAGTGTTTGTTTTCTCCATTCCAGCTCTTTCCTGGTAGTCCACGCTAGCTTTGTCATAGAGCACAAGTAGCTCATACTAGCTCTTTCATAGAGCCTTAAGTGGACCCTCATTTTTAGCCTGTGCATTAGCAAAAGGTCTGTGTCTTTTTGCCCTGTCACTGCAGCCTTACTCCAAGAGCAGGTGGACAAATGATCCCAGAGAGAAGTCACCAAAGTTAGCAATGAGCTGCTTAGCAGTGAGATGCCCAAACGAATAGCAGATTATCAATGCCATGCAAAATTAATCAATTAAATATTTTCTTGAAATATTCTTAAGCTATTATTACCTTTAGCAGTAAGTTTTAATATTCTATTTACTGCCAGGAGGCTTACTGAGTCTTCCCATTTCCACAACTTTCATCCTTAGGGAAAAAAAATTAACATATGAACCCAAATCATTAGGTTATATAGATGCTACCTCACCTCTTCTCAACGCTGACATGATAAAGTCACATTTTTATAGAAATGTGATAAGTCCCATCTGTACCTAGGAAAGAATTTCCATCTTTGGCCTGCTCACAAACTTACTGAGCCTGAAAAGGATCAAGACAGTCTCAGGGCTCTAGAAAGCATTGCCAGAAATACCACGCACAAGGTCCAATCTGCAAGTATTTCCTTTGTTATTTTTCCATCACACAAGTCACACGAATACGTTGCTATACCAATTTCTATATGACTATATGGAAGCCTTGATTTATGCAGTACTCATTTCCTGCCACTGTGAGCTTGGATTGAACCAAATGAGATATAAGCACCAGTCAACAAAGCAGGAGACCGAACATACTGGGGACAAAGATGAAGGACTTTTTATAAAAAAAATGAGAGCGAGGGCTGGGATGCAATAATGGCAACATGAAAAAAAAATACAGGAAGAGAAGTGGGGGTGGGAAAAGGAGGCAATGGGAGGAGCAGGAGTGGAAAGACAGGGCATGCACCTGTCTTTAGGGAATGCACTAATAAACCCACGTTTATTAATACTCTTTTGTTAATGCACGTTAAATTTAGTACCTCCATTGTGAGGCACAAGAAAAAGGCACGTTAGCCTATTTGAACACGCATTAGCAAAACCCACACGTTTTATGATGCTTTAATGCACATTAAAATAAGCTAATGCGCATTACAATGCGCACATAGATGCACCAAGGGGGGATCAGAAAGGGTTTAGAAATGGGAACAGCTAGGGCCCTGCTACACATTCAAATGAAAGCTGGACAGAAACCAGCTCTAGAGTTGTTACCCATTTTCAAGCACTAACTTTACAGCTGGTTGGCTCTTTTCAAGACGCAGAGGCATTTTTATCCTATGATAATTACTTCATACTTGTGGCTGGTCTAAGATTTATTATGCCACTGACCAGTTAATTGCCCATATATGTAATGTGTAGCAGGGGCTGAAGATCTGACACTTTTGTAAGGATGCGAGTAGACAGAGCAAGAGCAGCAAATGTGATCGACTGTGGTAGAGGTTAGGAGATGGGGTGGGACGGGACTGTGGCTGGACAGATGGAGAGATGCGGCATGGTTGAAAAGGAAGCTCTCCATCATCTGCAGCCTGAGCATACCTGATGCACAGATGATGCTTAATCAAAGCAAGAGAAGACCAGGGTTTTCAAGCAAGGGGGAAAAAAAGATAAGTTTTGGGACATTACAGAAAAAAAGTCACATTGCCTAGTCAAACCAAGTAGGCAGCAGAGCTGTTTGGGCTGTAATAACTAGGGGGATAGATTTCTACCAGCTTAGCTTTGGTGCTCATGGGCCCTCATTACCACTGTCCTGGTCCACCGCATTCAAAAGAGATGGGGGTCACATGGAGGTAAGTGGTTTGCTCAAGGCTCACCTTGGAAGTCTGCGTTATTGAACCCAAGTCTCTAGAGTTGCAGCAAAGTGGCTTACCTAAACATTTTAACTGATTTTAAGAATAAGGGTCCCTGCTGTGGTTTTATAAAGCCATTTTTGCTTGGAAATGACCCAGGGCTGTGGGCCTACACTACCCGTTCAACACATACACACCAACACATTAAGATAAAAAGGTAGGGCTTATATGAGAAGCCCCCAGAGAGAAAGAAACTGGAGTCAAAGAACTGCAACCCCACAGAAAGCTTATGCATCATGAAAAGCCCTAATAACCCCAGAGACTCTCTTGATGCTTTTTGTTTCCCATTAGGGTCAATGACCCAGCTGTACGTGTGCAAATATCAGAGATCTTTTTTCTGGACAATCACTTTCATGTACATAAAGTGAACATGCAATATGATGACAAACTCCAGGTTATCATAAACAATGAGGGTTGGGAGGGACCTCGGGAGGTCACACCTAGTCCATCCCCCTGCTCAAAGCAGGACCAGCCCCAGCTACATCAGATGGCATTACACGGTGCATGGCATTACATAGTACATGAGAAGAACATGACTATGAAAATCTCCACCAGCTTGTAGTGAAGGCCCCGCATTTGGTGGCTTCGTGCGATCCTGGGGTCTCTTTTCTGTTCTCTACCTGCCACAGGCTACTCACGTGGCCGTGACCCAGGGGAGTCACTTCTATGCCTTAGTTTCCCCACCTGAATCATGACATCAATTATGACCTTCCTCACAACAACTAAAGAGCATGTTCCTACAGCACTGAAATCAACAGTACTGCAAGAATCAGAAATAGTGAATGGCAAGAGAAAGCAGCAGTTCCACTGAGTTTTGGGAAAAAAACTCCACTTTTTTTTTTTTTTTTTTT